GGTTGTTACCCAAATTTTGAAGAGCAACAACATTGCTAGAAACTTTAACTGGCCAAAATAATGTGTCGCAGTTGTTGTTGCTAGTGTCTGTTGTGTCGGCCCATATCCAATTTGGACTACGCCTCCAAAATTTACCAAAGTAATCAGATTTCACGCGAATGCTTCCATCGTTGGTTGTGAAAATCTCATAACCAACTGTTGGATCTCCAATATCGTTAGATGCATACTGGTGATATGGATGTCCTTCGATCCAACGAGCACTAAGATATTGACCATTGTCACCCTTAAAAGCGACATGTTTGGGCAATATTAACAATGACTCCCAATCAACAATTATGCAAATATCACACTCATACTCTTCAGGATGATCATAGCCTGCAAACAAACAATCACCGAAGGGTGGATCTAACCTCCACAAGGAGCAATAATGTTTAAGTTGAACATGGAGAAATCGAAGCTTTTTAGAATCGCCATCTATGAAAATGGGTTGAAACAATGTGCAAGACCAGTCAGATTGATTTTCATTATGTTGGTCAGCACCACAAATAATCCACCAATGATTTTTGGACCACCTAACCCAATATTTGTTGTTGTAACAACACCGCAAGTGTACCAGTCCACTTGCAGTCTTAGAAGGCTCTACTTCAAACTTTGAATAGGGACTTACAACCTCATCTCCAGAGAATTGGAGAAATCCATGCACTTGCGTATCTTCATGAATGTAGCGTAAATATTTGTTGTTGTATTTTGATTTTAGAACGACGTACCTTGGCAATGCCATTTTCTCTCTTCTCTTCTCACTTGTAAAGTACTCTCTTCTTAGTTAGTCTTTGTTTTGTGATTCGCTAGGAGAACCTCCTATGATATTTATAGTAAGCATTCAAGAATTGAAAAGTTAATTTATCCAACATTATTTATGTTGTGTCTTGTTCTTTAATGCATAAATGTGAAAGGAATAAAAAAAAAAAAGGTGGATCATTAATTGTGGTGTGAACGGAAGCAAAGACTTGTTAGAATCTATTGACTTTATAACTACTGCTGGTACAATATTAAATTAAACAACTTTTTACCTTCTTATTTTTATTTAACAAATTTATTTTCTTATCTTCTTTATATCTCCTTCAAATTTAGAACATATATAATAACATAAATTATAAATAAACATATATTTTTAGTTCATTTTTTACTAAAAAATAATTCATTGTTTTCTTATAAAATTAGTAATTTATTAAAGTGTGTTATTATTTATTTTTGAATAAAAACTTATTTGTTTAAATAATTGAAAGGCATATTCTATTTTGAATATATCTTTTCAAGCAATTTCAAACATCTTTTATTTTGAAGATATCAGTATTTTATTTTGAATAGTATGAAATGCGTCAATTATTTTTTACTAAAAA